GGCAACTGTCGTGGCTAAATGTTTTAAATTCCACCTGTTGGTGTAAAGGAATGAACTTTTAGCCGCACTCATTATGGGTTACCTCTTAATGACCCCTAATTGCAGATATGCCTTCAAAGGGCCATTAGATACTTGTTTTTGGTCAGTCACACGCACATCTTGCTATTAGGGGCTGTAATACCCTTGATGCACTTGGCACATGGTCAAAAATAAAAATAAAATAAAACCCTGATACCCACAAAGCGAGTAGAAGATCAATCCCGTAGATAAACCCTCAGCTTATACTCAACCTGTTTCGTCACTTGAAGTATCACACTAGTGGCACACTGTCCTGTGTAAGCTTTAACTTTCCGGGAAAATGCAAAAACTACACATTTTTGTGGCAGCACATACACACAAGGGAACACCTCTGGAATGTATAATAATGTACGTCTTGTTGTCTACAGTATGGTGCAAGATACTAATGGATTCTTTCTTTCTTTACGTTTTATAAAAACCACCTCATTAGTCCGCCCACTAACACATTGATCATCCCACATTTCAGTGGAGTACATTACCTGCTGGGGTCTCTGGACTTGGTATATATATAAACTCGCATTCTTAGCTTGCAACCACATACCTTGCCATACAACCGTCTACTTCAAATCTGATACTGCAAATAAGGCAAGCAAAGCTACCTAGTCACCTTGAATTGCATTTTTGTTACATAAACCAGCAATGTACAATCGAAATGTCACACATCGATGGTTTCAACAGTTTAAAACAACTCTTCACTTGCTCTGATCCTTGAAAGCTTATGGTTTGGTTGAACTTAACAGCTTGACAATAATGTGTGCAGACTCATCTGTAAGTCCATAGAGAAAGGCTTTCCAATACTTCTCCATATACTCATAGTTAAGCAGCTCCCCATGTGTGCCAAATGACGTAAACCTAGTCAATGCACACGAATGCCTACACATGTGGTTGTCCTTACTAGGGGACAACAGCAATTACTACCAAACTGCGATCCATCACCATAGATCAAGAAGAACGCTAGTGGACACCAGGAGTGTAGACTACAGCGGACAAAGAGCTGTTACTGCAGACAGACGCTTGCAGGGCCAACATCAAACATGAGGACCGTATACAGCTATACACAGCATACAACACCTACTGTCTGCCTTTGTAAGGCATCCGCGTAGGGATCAGTACACTGAGTGTTACACCTGTGATTGCGCACTAGTACCACACTAGGAGTGATACTCGTTGTGTACATGTTGAATCTTCTGTGTGCTGTGATGGTAGTATGGGTTGACTCCTAGACAAGAAGGTGGTATGAACTCCAACTGTACACAGCCATTGGCACTCTGTCTACTAGACATGAGTATGGGGTTACCATTGTAGCTGAGTTTTGTCTACCTCTCCCCCTACTACCTCCTCTTACTTTCCCCTGCCTTCTCTCACCCATCCTTATAGCTCAAATAACTCCATTCAAGAAGAAAATTCAGAAATACAAGCCTTTGACTTGTAGCAGCCCTTTTCTTTAGCAAGCACCTTTTCACGTGAATATCTGATCTGCTCTTCGATAGTTCTGACAGTGCTTACCACTGGATCGTCTACATTAGCGAAGTGAAGCAGGCCGACATCACAAGTATAGCTCTCAGGAACCTGTGCCGTCGTTGGCTCTAATACATCATAGCCCTATGTAACACTTGCCTACTCTAGTTGCGTAAGGTGTAAACCACCTTATATTGCGCAGGAGGGACATGCGATATATTGGTGCACTAGAGGTGAACTGCAACCTGTACACGCTGCCTTCATGGCAAGTCTGAAAGGATGATGAGCTACTACTGACTGAGGCAAGTGCGCATGAAATGCCAACTCCACTTATTTCACTATCAGATGCACCCTCACATCCACAATACGTATGCCCCATAAATAGTCACCAGTAAGTGAAAGCAGGCCAAAGCAATCTTTTGAATGGACCATCAAATGTACACCTGCATCCTTTACTCTAAAGTTCACTTTTCTTACAGAGAAGTCGTTAGATGGAGTATGCACCTCATTTCACAGCAGGGTGTCCTAGAGCCGGGGAGACCAGTATCACATATCACACACCACTAACAGAGCGGCGTCAAGTAGTACAGAGTCTGTCTCACAGGAGCGACATATGCCGAAATAGTCAGAAGTCATGAGGCTATACAACAAATGATGTCTATTACCAGCCTCTTTGGCGAAGGGCACATATGCACGTGACAAGATCTGTTGCCACACCACGCCACTCTGTCACTCTGTACTTGCATGCCTCACTCCTAGGTCTACTCAGTGCATTATACATATCCAGATCATGTGTGTGGAGTGTGCTAGAGGGCCAAAATAGCGTGCTTGAAGTGAAGGGTCAGGAAGCACGAGACCACCACCACCACATCAGCGGGGAGGATAGATTGAGCGTACCTCTCTTTACTAGATTATGCTAGCTATATGCCCAACAACAATGTTTCCTCTGGTCGTCTCGATTCCTGCCCGTTGGCATTAGTCTCATCTCTGATCTGTGTCCTGACTAATCTGCCAGCCAGTGTTGTGTGAGAGTATCGGGCAAACAATAGCCGCACGTATCATCCGACTATTTTACGCCATGTTTGCAAGTGACTACTCAATTAAAATACTTGGTCCATAACTGCCAGTGTATTGCTGCGATGTTTTTATGACATACTAGGGTAAACTGATACCTAAGGCTCGGGGCATGCCATTATTCGACATGATTAGCCATCGCTTGATACTGATTGGAGCATCCATTCTGTCTGATACTGATTGGATGTCCATGATTTTGAGATCTTAGAACCAAGCAATGATGTCAATAGCTCTCACACATACATACCCCTTTCCCAGGTGGTAAGTCTGCGTGGTGCGTTATGCTGGTAACACTGGGGGCGAAGATAATATCATGGCCTTGTGGTCACGAGCCTGACACTGCAGTTAAGAGGTTTTGGGTGAAGGTTAGAGTGTCGTATATCCAGATGTCCGAGAGAGAATGAAGCCAAAATTGCGTAATCCAAGAGAAGAAGAAGCACGACGCACTAACTGGTACGGATCAAACTGAAGCATCATCGTCTCTAGCTAGCAAGCCAACAACGTGGCAACGAATCTCCTGAGCGTTTACAACTTCCCATGCCTAGATTGCAGATGCATCATGACTACTCCATTGTATTGACATAGAGTAAGTTTGTAGGTGCTAATGCATGCATAATTTGCTCACAGGGAGCGCGGTTACAAAGAGCCATTTAGAATATGATACGTGGAGTGACATGATCACGTTGACCTTTTCTTGATCCTATGGTACATGACTAATAGTCCACATACAAGTATAGCTACATGGTAGCTATAGAGTGTCTCTATCATATTATAGATCATGTGACAATAATGCTCTGGCTACAAAGAAACCACATTCAAAATGCAGCATTCATAATTATAGCTAGCCTCGCTACACAAAACACCTTGTCTTGCAGAAATACCCATGATTTATACATCCATGTTCATAAGTGCAAAATGGGTTTCAGCTAGTATGGCACATAGAGATAGTTGCTATTGCAATAGACATCAGTACAGCGTACATACACAATTATATAGACATAATGGCACGCAGGCAGTATACTCATGTGTGGTGAATAAGAAGCCATAGTCTTCACTGGCCTGTCTTAAGGGGTATTACAGTTAGCAGAGAGGATAGAAAGAAAATACAGAGTACAGAGCATATGCCAGCGTTTTCTAGCGTTTTTCATAGCCTTCTGACTAGCGTATACACACCACACGTGCTACACCCACACAAATTATTATAGCCACCTTAGCGCTAGCGATAAGAGGAAGATGTGCATTTTCACATACCCTTGCCACAGAACTCTCGTTTCTTAATAGGCATATGACACACACACCATGGTTTGAAAAACACTATTGTCTAGTGCAGCAAGAAAAAGCTTAAGCATTACAATCTTAGGAATATGTATATATACAGTTCCGGATTACACCGAAACTGCCCAACTTTACTTACTCCTTTCACCCGTCCATACCATCACCCGAAATGGCGCATGTTTCGTACACAATCGCTGTAGTAACCGAGCCATTGGATTAATGGAGAAAGACGGGATCAAACGTTATGATGGTTAATTCGAGAGAATTTGTGCGCAAAACTAGTGGAGAGGGGCTAAGGGACATACACACACAGAGTACACTAGCGCAGGCAACGCCGGACACAATGAACTGCACTGTCACCGTGCAAACGCTACGGCCGTTGTTTTCAGACAATGTAACACAGTATACATAATTTACAAGTACATTACAAGATGACACTAATGTGCAGAAGCTGTGTCTCTACTTTAGTTGTTTCCAGAACTTGTAGCAGGAGGATATTGGAGGATATTTGACAGATTTTACACAGAAAGTGTATACACAGAGCACTTTGCTTAGCTACTACATGAGGGTAGAAAGGTATGTCTCTACTTTGGTGCCTTCGACAGTCCTAATTGTTGGCTAGCTGGTGTGACAGATTTCGCGCATTTCCATTGTTCTCAACTTTAGCACCAGGTGTCGGTTTACCCTGTGCGGTGGCTACAAGTTGCGGTAAACGCAACCATCACTAGCCGCGTGCGGTAAACATACACCGACCGTAAATTCATCATGGACACACAAGTATGAACATTGTGAACGACTAACGGTTGAGGCGAACAGCCCTAGGCATTTCGGATAGAGTTTCCCACGACGTACTGTATCCAACGGCAGAATACACGACGATGAATACTTATTTGCTACCAGTAAAGCCTTGCCATAACTCACCGCTACAAACTCTGTCTTTCTCGTCGAGTTCTTTACCTCTGGGACATAGTAGAACGCTCTGTGCTCTCTCGCGCGTTCTGTCACAACTGAAAAAGTGACGAACGAGTGCGCGATACGCACGTAATACGCTACTAGTTTTGCGCATGCGCGCTAAAGTAGCTGAATCAGCGTTTATTTTGTCAATCAGCAAGTCACACGGACACGTGGACTGCTCGCTCAGTCAGTGCTGTGCAGATTTCACTCAAAAAGCAGCAGTCATGGCGTCTCAAGATGATTCCCCGAGTCTAGCGAGAGTGAAACGCAGCTCTGAAATTAGTAGAGACGCCAGTCGAAGCCGTTGCCAGAGCTAAGAACGCATACCTCCACAAACCGGACAGGGTCGAGGATATACTCGGTTATCTCTCTGCAGGTGGTGACGTCAGTCAGATCAGCATGGCAGGACCTTCGATCCATACCCATATGGATATCGTGCCAGCCAACTTAGATCCTCGCAGAAAAAGTGATCAAAGACACATAGACTAGGTTTGAAGAGGCAGTCTGGAAAGACCTTAGGAAGGTAAGGGTTAAATTTAATGTGAGAGAGTTATCGAAGGATGGAACTTAGAATTTCTTATTATCATGGAACTAGTAGCTTGTTATCTCTCTGGTTTTGTTGTGACAATGCCATGTTGTGGTGCGTTGTTTTGTGCGTCTGTGCTGCGCTTGCTTCTGAACAATGGGCAGCAGATGTTAGTTAACCTTGACCCTCCCTTTGGCTATCTGTATTGTACCTTGTGTCCCGCCAGATATATCTTCATCATCTAATCCCTACATGTTTCTCCCCCTCTTCTGCTCTCTATCTCTCTTTTCCTCCTTCCATCCCTTCTCTTCCACTTCCCCCCTCCCGCCCCTTCTGCTCTACCTCAGTCACGTCAAGAATTCAAATGGGAGAAATAAACCTAATCCTAACTGACATCTCATATACGCCCTCACAAACCTCCAGAAATGGTCGTCACCACGCAATGCACACAGAAGGACTTGGTCCATCAAATTTGAGCAAGATGTACCTCATGCCAGCCCAGCCCTATGGGAACAGTGCTGATCATAGCTCCATGGACTACCCCATTGGTCTACTGCTTGAACCACTTATTGGAGCTATTGCTGCTGGTATAGTACAGTTCTATGCTGTGATCGTCCTTTACTTATGGCGGCATGAGAGCATCGTCTTTTTAAATTGCCAAATTTTCTATGTGTCCAGTGGCACTAATCCAGACACCATGGGACTGAAGAAAGTGTCCATATTAGTGAGGTGTCTTTGTTTTAAAGTGCATGCAAGAACTGTTCTTGGGGAAAGAAACCCAAGGTTGTCCTAATATTATGAGGGTGTCCTCAGATAGGGAGGGGTTCCACATGTATTTACACTTTGCCAGTAGTGTCTGTGTTAGCATTTCCTTTGCATCGTGCATCCTGTTTGTGACACCAATCACCAAAAATCACAATCCTCGACATGTACCACACTATACGATGGCGTCCTCTGAGCACAGTGTGTTGTGTGTGTTGTGTCTGCCTACAGGTAACGCACTAGCTGCGTGCTAAAGCCATCTGAAACTGTCGGTGGCAACTGTCTAACTCATGAGCGAGCTTGTCCTCAATCTTGACAAGTCAGTTTCATACTCTATATACAAGTCTAAGGACAAAGTACACCCACAGCCTAGTCCATGTATATGATTAGTTATGAATTGTGTATAGCGAAGTATGTTGTCATAAATCACGTAAATTTTCTTGATATTAGAGTCAGCTGTCTCGCTTTCCTACCATAGAAAACTCTTTTGTGTGGGTTGCAATTTGTAGATAGTTGAGCTTGCTGCGGAATTTCACTAGCTGTCCTGTAGAAAACTCTTTGAGTTGCAAGTTGTAGAATTTGATAGATATACAATGATATATCTTGCTGCGAAATTCACTCACCCAAAATTTACACATTTTTGTCCCTTGCAAAGTGCAGAAGATATGAAAATTGGCTTTTAGTTGGCTAACTGCATTGACAAAAAAAACCTTCGCGAAATCTTTTCTCCAAACTTTTTTTAACTAAAGTATGTACATATACTGTACTATATGTTGTATATACTATATGCGTCGCACTCAGGATCTCTACCAGGTGGTGACCGGAGGAGTGGGTGTGGCTACAGAACTGCTGAGGCAGAGGTTTGACTACATCTTCTTCACAGGGAGCACGGCAGTCGGGAAGATTATCATGAGATGTGCCGCGGAGCACCTTACGCCCTGTACCCTGGAACTGGGCGGGAAGAGGTTTGTATGATAATGACACTTGTTTATACATACATAGAGTTGAACCTCATACCATACCTACCAACCATCCAGCTTTTTGCTTGATAATCAAGCAAAAATACTGCCTATCCCACCAGAAAATTGCCAAATCCCTCTTTTTTCACCATGCCTATACATTTTGAATGGACACACAGCATTTTTCAAGTAAAAATACTCCAAATCAAGCAAATTTGACACATTTCTCAAGCAAAAGTTCATCTGCTGCAGGTTGGTAGGTACGTATGATGTCATACCTCCGAATAAAGGACACCTCTCTCTATTGGTTCTGCCAAACACCTGAACATGTTTGCCTTGCCTTTCTACCTCGTTACCAAGTTGTTGAGACATATATGTATAGTATAGTGGAACCTTCGAGAAAGAAAACCCTAACTTAAGGACACCTCTCTATAAAGGATGCTTGGTTCACCCTCATACTGGTGATCACCTGAACATACATACATACATACTAGTGATCACCTGAACATACGTACATACATACTAGTGATCACCTGAACATACATACATACATACATACATACATACATACATACATACATACATACATACATACATACATACATACATACATACATACATACATACATACATACATCATACGTACAGTATCACCTCTGAAAATAGGACCCTCCGAACAAGGGATAACTCTCTATAAGTTACATATGTACTTACGCATGAATAAATTAGTACTGCCTTTGATTGAACACCTATTAACACCCTGTAGTAGACCATTAGTTTGAAAGTGTTTTCTTGTGAGCTACATACATGTACATAATATCCTGGAAGAACTTTCACTTCCTCGGCTGAAAAACAGCTTTCCTTTCCCACAGGAATTATTCACAGCTTTTGGAGTGTGTACAGTTACCTGCCTGCTCTGCGGGTCTAGTGTAATATTTCCGAGAAGCGCGTAATGTTGGTCCAATAATGCAGTGTGAGGTAAGTAAGGTCGTAGGAAGTAACCGGAAATAGGGTTGTAGCTCGGAAATGGTTGTTTTTAGTCGGGAAGAACTTTGACTTCCTCCTGACGTTCTTGTTGAAGAGAGTTTCCTCTCTGAAAGGGAATCTTGCAGCGTTTGAGCTACTGTCAGGTACCAGTGGTAGATATACGTACCAGTCATGCTGCTTTGTGGGTGGAGGTCCAGGAAATACCACGTGCCGTATTCCACTATATCATGTGATTCTTCTAAGAACTCTCAGTATGGGTGGTAGCCATATGAGGGACTAGAGTGCACACACACACACACACACACACACACACACTGCCGAGTCAGGTGGGAGAATATCTCGATGGGAAAGGAAGAATGGAAACCTTTCTCTTGTGACGGTCTGATCTGCAATACCACTTCGCCACGTGTAACACTGCGCAGTGTGCCACCTTTTTGTGAAGTTTATATCCATACACAGCCAGTAGAAGAAGCATTTTGGCCGCAGTGTTCTTGCTGAGCGTGAAATGTATAATTTTTAATGCACATACATACGTACATGTATTATGTTTATTTTAGGTGTCTATAACTCTTACGTATAACATAAACGAGAAAATGCTGCTGAAATCTTCTTTCCCTCTCCTTTCCCCCTCTCCCTCTTCTGCTCTGACTCTTTCCCTTTTCCTTTCTTCTCCCAACCTCTCCCTCTCCTTCCTTTCCCCCTCTCCCTCTTCTGCTCTGACTCTCTTCCTTTTCCTTTCTTCTCCCAACCTCTCCCTCTCCTTCCTTTCCCCCTCTCCCTCTTCTGCTCTGACTCTCTTCCTTTTCCTTTCTTCTCCCAACCTCTCCCTCTCCTCTCCTTTCCCCTCTCCTCTTCTGCTCTGACTCTCTTCCTTTTCCTTTCTTCCTCCCAACCTCTCCCTCTCCTTCCTTTCCCCCTCTCCTCTTCTGTCTGACTCTGACTCTCTTCCTTTTCCTTTCTTCTCCCAACCTCTCCCTCTCCTTCCTTTCCCCCTCTCCCTCTTCTGCTCTGACTCTCTTCCTTTTCCTTTCTTCTCCCAACCTCTCCCTCTCCTTCCTTTCCCCCTCTCCCTCTTCTGCTCTGACTCTCTTCCTTTTCCTTTCTTCTCCCAACCTCTCCCTCTCCTTCCTTTCCCCTCTCCCTCTCTCTGCTCTGACTCTCTTCCTTTCCTTTCCTTCTCCAACCTCTCCTCGCCTTCCTTTCCCCCTCTCCCTCTTCTGCTCTGACTCTCTTCCTTTTCCTTTCTTCTCCCAACCTCTCCCTCTCCCCCTCTCCCTCTCCTTCCTTTCCCCCTCTCCCTCTTCTGCTCTGACTCTCTCCCTAGCCCTGTTCTAGTGGCCGATGATGCCAACATCGAGGTAGCTGCCCGGAGAATAATGTGGGGCAAGTGTATCAATGCGGGGCAGTCCTGCATTGCCCCGGATTACGTCCTGTGTACCGAAGCCATCAGAGACCAGCTAATTGAGACCTGCAAGGCCACCCTAACAGAGTTCTATGGAGAGGTACAGTTGAACCACTGGCAGTATCACTTAGTACAGTAGTACTTAGTATATAGGGATGGGCATGGTACCTAGCATCATAGATGCATGGTAATACTTCAAAGTATTGGGGAAGACCAGCTTTTTGTCTATGAGTTGTATAGCTCAGAGTGTAGTGTTACTGGCACGACGCCCGAGTTCAACTCCGGACAAAAGTCTGTTCTTTCTCTTCTCCTCGTGACCTGTGTTTCTTCACCACTTCTTCTTTCACGAGATGTTTGTGCATCAAAAGTCTCTCTGCTATAGAGTACTGTGTATGTAATCACAATATTGACTGCTGTGTTGTATTAATGTATGTATGTATGTATGTATGTACTTTCTTAGGATGTGAAAGGATCGAAAGATTTTGGACGAATCATTCACAGCTGCCATTTCCAGTAAGTGCGATACATGAACACGGATGTGTAACTTGCCATTGTGTGTTAACTGTGTAGTGTTGTGTGTATGTTTGTATGTACAAGATTACTGTAGATTACTAGAGATTACTGAGTGGTTTACTGAATGGTGTATGTGTGACTATATGATAATGTGTGTGTACGTCGTGGTAGGCGACTGAAGACTATGTTGGACGGCGTGAAAGACAAAGTCGTATCTGGAGGAGAAGCAGGTACACGTTGGGCCTATGCACATGACTATTGTATCATTGTATGGATTATGTACACATGCTGGGTTCTATTGCAGTTGCAGAGTAAGATCCGCTCATGTATGCGTCTGTTTACGGCACGTATCAAATCAGGACACCTCACTAATCAGGACACCTCACTAATCAGGACACCTCACTAATCAGGACACCTCACTAATCAGGACACCTCACTGATCAGGACACCTCACTAATCAGGACACCTCACTAATCAGGACACCTCACTAATCAGGACACCTCACTAATCAGGACACCTCACTGATCAGGACACCTTACTAATCAGGACACCTTACTAATCAGGACACCTTACTAATCAGGACACCTCACTAATCAGGACACCTCACTGATACATAGGGCGCTGCACTAAACAAGACTCTTTACATTATGGCATTGACATTGGACTCAGTATAATCAGGACACCCCACTGATCAGGACACCTCACTGATCAGGACACCTCACAGGAGACTTCACTGATCAGGACACCTTTCTCAACCAGGACACTGCATCTTTCAAAACACCTCAACTAAAGTTGTTCGAAAAATCCACTATTCAGGACACGTCACTAATCAGCCTTTGATTCAACATCTGGTCATACTGTGTATGAGTAGTTCTCTCTGCCAATGTTCAACATCCACAATATGACCAGATCACTGATCCCATCTTTTGATCATTTAAAAACGTCCTCCCGTGTGTTTGTGTACATCTGTGTACCAACAAACAGCCACCGCTGCACACACACACCCAACCCCATATGGCTTAGGCTGAGACGTCACTCAGTCAATGAAGTGTGTCACCAAACAGCTTCCTCTTCTCATTTTTCAAAGATAGCTGGGGACCACCAAGGGCACAAGGTGGACATAGTTTATATATAGTACCCCTGGTCAGTCAAGCCTTATTTCACTCACAAACAATATTGGGAGGTTTACAATGTGTCTACAGCATTGTATTGATGGGACCCTTTCTTATCCCATTTGTTGCCTTGTCACTGAGAAAATTTTTGGACTTTGCATAGTTTAAATTTTGGTAGCATCGGTACAAGATAGACTTTGCGTAGTTAAAATATCGGAAGCATGTTAAAATTTCGGAAGCATAATATTTTTGAAACTCTCAAACTCCCTCCCCTTTTCCTCCCTCTCCACCCTCTCTCTCTAAGATGAATCGGATCTGTTCATATCCCCCACGCTCCTGAGTGGAGTGACAGCCAGTGATGGTGTCATGCAGGAGGAAGTGTTTGGGCCACTCCTACCTTTTGTTACCGTTGAGAACATGGACCAAGCCATTCAATTTGTTAGAGACCGGTATAAAACTGATGAAACGTTGATTTGGTCTGTCTGTCTGTCTGTCGGTTTGTCAATGTCTGTCTGTTAGCTTGTTTTCTGCCACCACGCACCAACAAAGCAAACAAAAAGTGAATCCAGCTTCAGGGTTACTCTTGCTTAAAAACTGGCGATTTTCATAAAACTGCTGCGTTTAAAGTAAACCTTGAGTAGCTTCACCGTGCGAATGAGTGTGTAAACCATTTTTCACACTTCTACGCGTGACAACGTGTTGCTGTGCAAGTTATGACAACAAGTAAGAATGTACGCATGATCAGTTTGCCTTTGCTGATACTCTCGGCACCTATGTATGTACACTTGTGGTGTGGCTTCTATGAAGACATTGGTGTACTTTATCCTCCCCTCCCCTCTCTCTCTCTCTCTCCTCCCTCTAGAGAGAAGCCGCTTGGCACTGTATGTGTTCACGGAGGACAATTCTCTACTGCAGAGAGTCCTCCATAGTATCAGTGCCGGTGGAGTGGTTCATAATGATGTATTGCAACAATACTCAGGTGAGCGGTCTTTCTAAAGGTCACGCTATGAATCATGATGCAACTTAGTGTCAAACGTATGGATATGATAGACCAACATAGTAATGCCTTCCATTTTCATGCAATGTTGTTGTGTGGCCTATTATACTCATACATTTGAGACTATCTCATGTAGAGCAAAGGTGTACATATATTATAATATGTACAGCGTGGATGTACATGTGTATGTGTACAGAGTGGGTTTGTACTATATACAGCAGGTATACAATGCCAGCAGACAGCATGAGATCTAATCTGCAAAAACTCACGCGGAAAGCGGAAAATCACTAAAATCAGTGACCACTAAATGCAGCACGATGCAGCAAATCACTCAAACGAGTTACTATACCACAAAGGTATTTTGTAGTTTATTGGAGACAAAATGAGCCAAAGTGCTTAATGTTTATTGAATTTCCTCTTCTGGGCTCTTAAGTCTATTACTGCATTGATTTATGTGTTGTGCTTGGAAAGATTATTTTCTCACTTGCACAGTAGGTGATTTGTGTGCTGCGGTGCTATATTATATGAGATGTTCTCATTTCCAGTTTCGAGTTTGCCGTTTGGAGGTGTGGGTCACAGTGGGTTCGGAGCCTATCACGGAAAGGCATCGTTTGACACATTCTCTCATTACAAGCCCGTGCTCTGCACTCCTGCGGCGAGCTACCTGGAGAATGTTAACAGGTGTGTGTGTTGGGGCTTGCTGTCTCCATGTATATAATGTATACTTTTGTGTGTACATTTGTGCTTTGCTGTTACACTCTCCAGCTACAGTCGAGGTATTCAGGATGGTTGGTTGGCCTGTCCTTCCCCCCACTTGCTTACTAAAGTACGAACATTTTGGCCATCCTATTCTTTCACTGCACACTCCAGCTATAGTCAAGGTATTCAGGATGGTTAGTTGGTCTGTCCTTCCCCCCACTTGCTTACTAAAAGTACGAACATTTTGGCCATCCTATTCTTTCACTGCACTCACCAGCTACAGTCGAGGTATTCAGGATGGTTGGTTGGCCTGTTCTTCCCTCCACTTGCTTGGCAAAAATGCAAAACCTTTAGGGCACTGTTGTAATATATTTAGGCCCACGGATTAACTATAATTATACTGAGGGTGTTGGCATTACATTCTCTAGCTATAGCCAAGTCATTTACTATTGTTGGTTGGCGTATCTTTCTCTTCACGTGCCGGCTAAAAAAGCAAAATAAATTACATATGGCATTCAAATTCCACATCACTAATGCCTGAGTGGTTTGTACATACATTTTTGATCGCACTCTTCAGCAAAAATAGTTGCCCTTTGATCGATCTGCCTATCTCCTCGCATGCCAACAAAAACACAGTCGTCACTAAATTTAACACAGTCACTCTTGATTTTACATAATTATTTCACTCCACAGTATTCGCTGCCCGCCCTACTCTGAGAGCAAGATAAAAGAGGTGAACAAACTGCAGCTGCCGCCAGAAGGACTGGGTGGAGGGACTTCGCGAGCTCTCAGGATCACCAGTCTCGTCCTGCAGGGAATGGCTGGTCGAAGACAGTCGTAGATGAACATTGAAGAATGAACTGTGCAATAGTCTTATAATTACCACTGTTAGTAATGCTGCATCAGCTTTGTAAAACTATTGTGTCCTAGTAAACTTTCAAACATTTTTAACCCTCGGCGGCGCGCATGCGCAGCGAGGGTTACAGTACTTGGTTTGTCCGTTTGTCCGTTTGTCCGTCTGTTACCAGCCACCACGCGCAACAAACAGGTAAAATAGCGACACCAACGGGTTCAGCGCCCGCTACACTGGCTTCATTTTTAAAATGGCGATTTTTGTAAAAGTGCCGCGTTCAGAAGTTATGGCGTGAAAACCAAGTGAACAAGCCAATATGCACATGCAGGCTTACCCCGACCTGATCCGCTTTATCTGTGTACCTCGGAGGCACAAGAAGTCACAACGAATGGCGTGTATCGACTCTCGCGTGCTATCTACTACTGTAGCTAGCCCGTGTCAGACTCTCTGCGAGCTACTTCGCCTAGGGTTTGCACTTTTACACTGTTCCCATTCAAGTAATGGTGGAGGTCTGATGGATAAGCACCCCCTCTCTTGATCGTGAGGTCCTGGTTCGATCCCGGGGGTGTGCGCCTTTTTTACAATGATGTAATAGGAGTGTTGGCTGTTGGTATAACTGGAACGTTTTTTCATCACCTCTCCAGGCCAGCCCGAGTGGCTAGGTGGTTAGAGTCGTGGGGACTGACACCATAGGTGCCGGGTTCGAATCCTCGATCCGCACTAAAGTGTCAGGTGGTCCAGAGCATTGGCTGGGAACAGCTCTGGTTCCTCCCCTTACCCACAAATCTACCACTGACCCACGTTTCTCAAAGGGCAGCGTATAGTTCGGCATTGCACTGCGTCCGTAGACGTCTGTCTGGAGAGATGAAGGGCTGGGCGTTAAAAATGTTTTTTTTCAACCTTAGGTTTTTTTCTTCCACTAAACAATCCACAGGTAATACGAAAATTAATAGAGAGATGAAAGGTTGGCAATTTTTCAACCTTATATATTTTTTGGGCCTCAAAGAAATGTTTCAACCTTATATAAATAATCCATGGCAATGGTGCATACATGCTGTTATTTTTGATGCATGGTCAAGACCATCAATTGTGGTGGTGCCACACTTGTGTATGGGTTCCACATTTCTATATAGTGTGCCGAGGGTTTGCACTTCGGTGCTTTTCATTTTCTTCTGTGCAGATGTGCATGATTGTCAAAAATCACTTTTACACATCAGCGGAGCATAATTATTATACCAAACCACACTCCTGTGTCCTTGTTAATGTCACATACAGTATAGATTTAGTCCCGATTTTTGTGGTGCAGTTCCAGCGATCAGCTCTGTTCCCAGGTAGCAATGAGACAGGTGAGGGTGGTTATCTTCCTCTCGCTGTCTTCACCGCCCTCTCTCGCCTCACACGACTCTCCCCGCTGAGCCCAGCAGTGGAGAAGATAACAGAGCCAGCACTCGAGAGAGCTGGCTCCGTGCGGCCTCGTGAGTAGCTAGTTGGCAATGAGAGCAGTTAGACCCACACTCTTCTACTGCCACCAATCTTGACACTCTGACGTCCTGCCAGTTACTGCCTGTGGCTCCTGAAGTAGTGTTGATGTTACTTTTAGGTGAAGATGTACTATGTGGAGAGTTGGTGGGGGTAGAAACTGAAGAGGATTCGGTGAGGTTGTTTTGTGTGGTGGAGCTATTGATACACATGAAAGATTCATCGCTGTTGGTAGAGTGCTGTGGTCCATTTGCGTTGGCACTAGTGGTAGAAGTTTGTTTCTGCGGTTCACTACTAGACTCATCGTCATCATCAGACGTTTCTTTTGCTGAAGAGGTCGGGGAAAAGCCTTTTGTCGGAGGAGAGTTTCCGTCACATACTGAGTTCAACACTTTGTCGTGTGCACTACTGTCGGAAGTGGCTGAGGTTGGGTCAAGGAAAGCTTGAGGTGTAAGGGAAGTGATGTGACAGATTCGCTCCATTGTATCATCTCGAAAGATGCCATGATCTGGAGTGTTTGCTACTTGTCCCATTGCCAGATGGTGGAACAGTCGCGTAGATTTTAGAGGGAGGTTGAAGCTGTTTTGCTGATGACTGGTGTTTTAGGGAATTCATAAGTTGGTCGAGTTTCAATGTCAAGTCGTTTACAAAAGACTCAGAGTTCAAGGCATTATCCTCAACACTCTGAGAAAGATTCTCTGATGCTGCTGTAGTGCTTAATCCACAGCTGTTTGTAGTGTTGCAAGAAGGTAGTAGTTGTTGGTTGGTAGCAGTGTCTTTTCCTGGCAGGTTGAAATAAGCAGTTTGCCTCTCTATTAGTCCAGTTTCCTCCAATGAATCATGGGAGAGATCCACGACATGAGAATCAGCAATATTTCCTCCTTTTGTCCCATCTACATCGGATTGAATCATGTAGTCGGATTTGCTATGTTTTTTCTTCAACTCATCATTGATATCAACGACACTATCATGAGATACTGCTCCATCTTCTGGCATTAGTTGCGGCTCCTCTCTGAGCATGGCACCGACGTTTACCAAAGTGGAAGATGCTTCAACTTCGAATTCTTGCTCAGCTCTAGCAGTTGTCTTTGTCAATGTCTTGCAGGGTGTGTGAGGTGTAAGGTGGTGGTAATGCTGCAGGACCTTGCACTGGAGGTAGCTGTCTGATACAGAGCAGTCCAGCGGGAGATTGGTGTCCCTCTGATGCCGGCAAAAGAAGCAGCGATTTAGAGTGGGTTTTGATGCCCGTGGACCGTCATCCACCTCCATTTTTTCTTGTTCTTGCTCTTCATCTTGCTCCTCGTTTGTATTGGCAGACGATTGCTTTCTCTTGTAAGCACCGACGGCATATTTCATGCTATTCATTTGCTTTTCCACTCTGTTCTTCAATTGATGCAGTGGGAATCTTGAGGAACTCCTGGCCTGACGGGTTTCAAAGATGTGGGCATTTGCGTCATCTACATCTGCAATGCTCAATGGATCAACTCTCCCTGTTGCAACTCTCTTTCTTCTTGGCCTCCTGGGAGTATACGATGTATGACTCAGTGTGTAGCTCTCTGGTGTGACAAACTGATTCCCCACTGTCATTTTCAACGCAGCTGAGAAGTTACCCTGCATGGAAAGCATGTGGTAGTCCTACTCATCTTTAATTTCTTACTCACATTGTTTTTCGTAATCTGGTGGCTGGAGTGGCAGATTTGCAGGCACCTCTCTAGCTCTGATTCACCAGTTTGTGAACTATACTCCTCCTCTTCAGATGACAGGAGAAGAGGGGAGGACACACTGCAACAGCTGTCGAATGCATATCCAAACACTCTCTGCAATTCCTCTCCCTATAGGAGTGTGGCAATATGACATGCTCACTGTCTGTGTGTGTGTTGCATAATGTATGCATCCTATGGATGTGTACAGCTGCCAACATGAGTGTATGTAAAATCATTAAACCCGATGCTCCACGTAGATAGTTCTTCAATAACTCTTTCGTTCTTACTGTGAGGCCACTTGTCTTGGGAGTCTTGAAGGCCATACAGAAGTGGTTCCCTGAGGTGTAGTTCTTCACGATGTAGGCAAAGAGTCGTGGTCGACACTGGTCAGTGTAGCATGTGCTGACTGCTGTGACTGCATGCTCAAATGCAACCTGAGTGGGCAGAACACTGGATGAACCTGAGACATAAAGATTTAGTTCCTTTTTTCGAAACGAGAAAGCTTGACAAGTACCCAGTGTTGATGAATGATCTTGATGGTAGTTGAAGTGAGAGAGAGAATCACATGAGATGAGTGATGGTGGCCGTTACTCTTCCTCTCCCGTTTGCTCAATGCTCTGCCACAACCCAGCTCATCATAGGGATTGTCCACTGCATACACACCAAGGAACTGAAAAGAAAGAGTTTTGACTTGCTAGTTTTATGTTCACAACAAATATTGATGTGTATATACGAACCTTGACGGGATATAATGCTCCTGCAGTTTCAAAGTCGTGTCTATTTTCTTGCCACGTGTCCCTCACCACAGAATCATACCTGCGCCTTTGCCAGCCACGCCGATCCCGCCGACTCCATCGCTTAACTAACGAAAAAACGTCGCCCAAGTTGCTCATTATTTGTCATTACGGTGCATCAAAATTTCCGCGCTGGAGAGCTAGAGACGCGCACGCGCGCACGACGCCGACGCGAATATCCATGGCAACAACACGAGCCGATTGTTACTTTAACCCTTTAGCCGCCGAATTCTGTGAAATCGAACACTCGTGCTTCTCTCGCTCATCGTCCCCTTGCTCGCGCGCTCCTCTCACCTTTGGCCCTCTGGTTCTGTGCTCTGAAGGATCCGACATGAGTGAAGAAGGTTAGTCTATCTACGTGCATAAGTAGTGACAAAACGCTACAAACACACTTCTTCCCGAACTTGACATTTCTGTAAACGCTTCTAAGAGCGCGGTATCAGTGTGCGTCATTAGCAGTGTGTCTTTTCTAGTGTCTTCTCCACGGCGTCTGCTGGTAGTAAACATGCCAGGGATGACGAGGGAGAGGTCGCGGCTGAAGCTCCAGCTAAGAGACAACGTCAGGAAGACAATGGTGGGGTAAACCCTTTATTGAGTGTAGTCCTCTTCTCAAACTAACACTACATCACATGTGTATTTTATTTCCCTTTAATGGACTAAGAAATTCTTAGTCCTTTGGGTTTCAGAAATAATTTAGGAAGCCACGGGCATATATTATAATTATATATACAGTATATATAATTATATATGTGCCCAGAGCCATATAATTTATAATATGGCTATAATACTACGTAGGTGTTAATAATCAATTTCTGCTTATTTACGGAGATACCCATGGCATCCTAAGGTTTAAGTAATATAATCAAAGTGCAGTCCCCAGAGCCATGTGGGCTTCTGCCAACATGTGTTGCGTTGTGTTGTGTATACCCAAAAGAGCATTGGATGAAGAACCTTATAGTATGAAACTTTATACCCACTTCCTGCGTTAGAATTATAGATCTCTCTCTTGTTTACGGCAATACTGTGTGTCTGTTTGCAGCTGGACCGTGTACATCTTCCACTGGCAAGGCGGCAGATGGGGAAAGTAGGGAGGGTGTGGGTGGGGAGGGTGTGACCAGTGAGAGTGATGAAGAGTACCAGATTGATGGCTCTGAGTCTGACGGTGGACCCTCTGATGATGAAGGAAATGAAGGTACACTTCTTTAAATCCTTGCTACTTTAGGTATGTATATATATACCTCTTAGCAAAAATTATTTACGACCTATATACTACAGTTGAACCTCTGATAAAGGACCCTCCGAGTTGGGGGCGACCTCTTTACAAAGGACACCTTTTTCAACCCCATTCTTATATTTCTGTGTATTATTTGACCTCTGAGATAGGGACGACCTCTCTACAAGGGACAAAATTGTAGGCCCCATGGTGTCCCTTGTTCGGAGGTTCCCCTGCGTGTTACTGTCACCCTGTGTACAATCGTAATGTAAAGTGATACTGTATTGTGCACTCCTTACATAACGTATTACATGACACAATGTGTATGTACAAGTACATGCGTGTACATCGTACATTGCACTGTACTTCTTTTTGTGAGAGTTGCATATTTATTCCTGATTTTTTCTTATCATCCTGACTCCTTTGTATACCTGTAATTTTCAAGATGTACGTTTGTTGTCGCGTACACAATGCCTAATACATGCATACTATAGCTGAGAGCAGTGACATCAGTGCGGAAGAGGAGGAAGAGGAGGAAGAGGAAGGAGAGGGTGGAGGCAGCAATATTGTCTGTGGACAGTGCGTCAAACTCCGAGAAATCAAGGATGGAAAATACAGGTCTTCCTGCTAGAATAGGTTTTAGTAGAAACTTGCTCTTTTCCATTGTTTAGTTAGAGAGTTCCTTCCTGGTGGTGGTATATCATAATATGTACATGGTAGTAGAAATTGTGTTGGTGCGTGTAATGCTGTGCCAGACATTGTGTTGGGAGTGGCAATCGGTTGACTTACTAAATGCACTAATTTGCCAAATTGGTTCGCTCGCGTGTGTGCTGTATATAATATGCTGGAGACTTTTGGTTGCAAGTGAGAATTTCACGTAAATCGTTTACTTCTAGACAAGTCTTCGTGCCCACACAATTTGCAGGAGTCGCCTTTACGTACTACATATATGTATGACTTACGCACTGTAAAATTTGTGAGTTTGAAATTTCCCACCACAGTGACTAAATCCTCCTCTGCCTTAGAGGGCATAGTCGTTCGTTTGAGTGTAATTTTCTGTATATTAATAGTACGTCGTACGCCGTGTAAGTGCGCATGCGCGGCTTTGTACGCGCTTCTTTTTATCCAAAACTAATTTCCATTTTTACAAATTTTCACACACGGTGCCTCGCGATATGCGCCGATCGATCTAGCCAGCTAGAGAACTCTCCTCCATTCGACGGCATGCGCTGCAACCTTCGGTGACTGACCGAGGCTGTATATACCTCTTCCCAATCTTCATGGTTCCAAGGTGCAACTTGCAAATACGCTAGGATTGCTCGTGCACATACTGCTGCATGCCAGCTGCCTGGTGGACCACGACTGCTCACCTGCTCACCGTTCTGCCAATGTACAATACGCATGTAACGGCGACAGGTAGATCTGTCTTGCTTCACGAAAGGAAAGCTGTGCGCTGGCGGCGTTATGCAGCCTGAACATTGCGGGCAAATCCCAAGTTGGGTCGCTCCCGCTCGCCAACAATGTTCAACATTTCCACTAGTATATATACTGTGGTTTGTCTTGATTTATTATTAGGCTGTATAAGGAGGAAAGTGTACGAGAGATAAAGATTCTACTGTCCCAGGAGTCTGCCACCAGTGCTGAAAAACTCGCCCGACAAATTCAGGTGAGTCAGACCCTGTAATCATAATATTATAGCATTAGCAAGGGAGAGGAAGTTTTTCCGAGGGTTGTATGGATAAGGTCTTTGAGAACTATATTGGGAGGCACACTTAATTTTAATATTAGAGAGGGAAATTTTTGAGGGGTAGCAAATTTCCTTCTTGTCCCCCTTCTAGAAAAAAAAATTGTTTTAGTTGACCTCTTCAATTCTCTCTTTCTCTCTCTCTCTCGTTTTCTTCTCTATTTCCTTCCCTTCCTCTCTCCTTGGTTTTCCTTCTTGTATACAGTCAGAGGATCAGATAGCGGTTTTAGATGCGCAGGATGCAGAGGTGACTCGAGACGAACGAGACGAGGTAATTGTCTACGCAAAATCGCTAACGGCAGCGGACACCAAATACGCCTTCTACAACGACGACGACAATACCAATGACGAAATTGGGAATCGAACTGGAGGCATTCTACTCCAGGGAAATAAACTAGTGGTGCTGAGGGTCCAAGGTATCAAGGAGGTCTTTGCAACTGGAGATTTCAATATGCAAGATAACGAGGACTGATGTTATGTAGGTTTGGTTAAAGGCTGACACTTTAATCTTTAACTCTTACAGAGCTGGCTCGTGCCTTTTTAGGATTAAAATTCCACGTTTCCTTCAGTTCATACTAAAATATAAATCAATACTATAGTTTCTTTAATTAAAACCCTTTACTGACTTATTTCCTCTGTAATATCTATCATAATAGAGAACTGTACTGATTATGCCTGTTTTCACAACTACAATATAGACTGTATATATGACATGTACAGATAATGCTGATAGGGCAAATGAAATCGAGTCTAACTTTAAAAATTGGTGACGACATAACAAGTGTAATTACATGATAGCTCACTGTGCTGCTGTGATGATTGAAATTTTCACAAGATTTGTACATAGTCATTATGTTGGTCTATGTGAGATATACACACACGATTGATGGTGTATATATACATGTGGATTATCTGGCTGAGCTGTGCTTTAGTGTCCTGTGTTAAGTTTGTGTATATACATGTTCTGGTGATCAGGCAGTAGTGGAGTCTTCTCCAAGTATTGGCGTGTCAGGTAGGACCACGACTGTGAGTTCAGCTGCGGTTGTCTTCTCGTTCACGTCTCCCACTTCTTCCTCTTCTGTCAGTTTCTTTTTCTCCTCTTCTTTCTTTGGCTCCAGTTTGTCATAGTCGTCGCCCACAGCCACTGAAGACAAATAAAATATAAAAGTCCTTGCTTCATTAACTGAACCCTTAGGATAGTATTACTGTACAAATGCTTCCTTTATCACCTACAACATAGGTGCTAACAATTGTATGCTGCCTCTTAACAAAACGAGTCCGAGAAATTGATGCTACACTAAAAACTGGAAATGATGCAGTGATGCATGTTGCCCAAATCTATTTTCTACAGACCTTTCTTCCCCTTTTTCATACAGTACTACGTACCGTATATGCTGTTTGTACATGTATATTGGTTCCTGTACAGACCTTTGTCAGGTTCCAGTGGGGATGGAGGGCCATGGACTACCACTGTGGCAGTGGTAGTAGGCGACCCAGTCTTGTCCAGAGGAAGGTAGGAGGACTGACCTGCTGGGCTCGAGCTGCCGTCAGTGGTGTACGAATGCATTGCCACGTACTCATCACTCATTGAGGCTGGAGAGTAGTGTGCATGGGTAGAGGTAGTAGGGGGCAGTGCAAAAAGGTATAATCAAGCCAGTTGCTTTTGTCGGCATCAATACGTGCAGCTACCCTTAAGTAGGTTTTTGTGTAGTCGTGTGAATGTGAAGATGCTCAATACAACAACTTTGTCTCTCAACGTCTATTGCTATGATGTGCAATTGCATTTAGAATCCCCACAAATGCTCCAACCAATGCTATGCTGTAAAACCACGGGCTCAATTCGCTCAATGACATTAGCCTCTCCTTCGTTCGTGGGCCTTTGTTCCTATAAAGAGCCAGGTGAGGTTTATACGTACGAACAACAAGACAGTAGGAATAGTTGGAGGAGGGTTTGTGTGCTCACACAACAATAAGTATTTCCGAGGGTAAATATGCTCTTGGTTTTCTCAAACAAGAGTACGTTGTGCTATGGATCTGCATGCTCTATGCATTGCTCTAGTGTTTACATATCACCTGCTAGCCTGTACATTATGCACCTGCTATAACCTCCTCCAACGAGCACTTCGGGAAGAATTGACAGTTAGTGCTTATTTTTATTGGATATCTCCTTGATTCTGTGCATAGGACTGTAAACTATGGTGAGAAGCTATAAGGAAAGCCTCGAGCTGTGTATTAATCGTATTGCTGACTCACTTGGCAGTGGTGGCAGGGGAAGGTGTTTGACATTCTTGTAGGAGAGTGACCCAGTCGTGCTAACAATGTGGGGCTGGGAGCCTCCGGACAGGATGGCGCTGTTTGGTCGCGACGATGGAGATGAGTTGTTGTTTGTGCTGCCTGTGCTGGAGCCATGCCCCTCATCGTCGCTGTAGTAGATGTTGCTGCTGCGTTTGGTGGGCGGAGTCTGGATGTCTGTGAGCGGGATCCTGTGCTGCGCTGCACACGTTATCTGGAGAAAGAGTCAGCGATTGTACGAGTCAATAACTCAGCACCTCTGTACCCGATTACCACTGTAAACAGTAGCAGACACAATTGCTTCGTTTTAACGCTGATTTGCAGTTGTTGGTATGATCTGTGATACATAGGTTTAGTCTTGCTATTACCTATGGCTGCAAATAGCAATGTTTTGTTAACTGCATGCACTATTACGTCACCAAAACATGTCGCGGGCATTGGAACCTCTTCCTTAGGAATAGTGGCTCTTAGGAAACCTAACCATTTCCATCTGCTGAAGTTGCTGAATCTGCATCTGCTCAAGAATGTCGGGGATGGTGTCATATTCGTGTTCTCCCGACACGTGTCTGCTCCCATTCCCATTGTACATGTTGGGGAACACTGGCACCAGAGCCATGTCAGTCTTGTCTTCCTCGCGCAAGGCTGTGGACCTGAAGGTTGAGCAGTGTAGAAATAGCAATGAGAATGCAGTGTACTTATGCATGGTTAGTAGCTACGCATAGTTATGGTTTGCGTTATGGGTGGATAATGAGTCTTAGAGCCAACAATGAGTTCAGCAGACACTGAGTGTGTATATCAGTGTGAAATATCCGCTATTCGATGTAGGAAACGTAAGGTGCATAGAGCTAGGCTGGTTTGAAGCTTATTTACTGTACGTACCTCTGCTTGGTCTTGTAAGCTCTCTTCCTACGGACGAGGACTCCGATAGAGCAGCAGAGGAGTGCCAGGAGAGTGAGCATGACGATGATGATCCCAGCCAGGGCAGGAATGATTATGAGGAGAAAATCGCTGTTGCTCCCACTGGAACTGTCCTTGCTGTACCTCAGGAACCCCACAGAGTAGTTCAGACCACTCTTACCTACGTACACCTACGTAAATATAGGTCAAGGTCAGCTCTCATACAATTTCAATGTATGGCAACGCCAAATTCATACTACCGAGCGTTTGTTGTTTTTTGGTTTTTTTCCGCACAAATTTGTAAGCCCTGGTGCATGTGCACACAATATTTTTATTGCCACTTTATGCCCTCTGTAGGGTAATGTATTATAGGCAAGCGAAGTGAGCCTACCTAGTCGTCTCAATGCGGGAATTTTTTTATTTATATGTGATGGCTTTGTTGGGCACTGCACATACCGTAAGGTTCTGCAATTCGACGTGCGAAATATGAAACTGCTTGTGCTTGCTCGCCCAAAATTAATTTTGTTTCTTAGTGATTCTCTCAGCACACATGCATTGAGCTATGCACCAAGAGACTTGAGGCTGACCACAGCCCTGATCCCACATTACCATCTACATCGTTTATACATTAGCACATTGTATCGTGGCTAACCACACGCTCACCATACACTAATACTGCCATTGCACGAGCCTTACTTTCACTAGCCTGTCACCAGGCAGCACTGTATCTGGAGGGAAGCACCTTACTTGCTGGAAAATGAGAAGAAAAGCAAAGACTAGCTGAACACTGCAAGGTGAGTGAATGTGGTGCTCACTGTGTCTGTTATGTCGTCACTGACAAGAGTGCAGACAGCATCATCAACCAATACTGACAGCTCACTGGGCAACACAGATTCTATGTTGGATCCCTGCAATAAAGTGAGACAAACTAAGCTACTTTCCCCCTAGGCATATACAAAATGCTTGGTAGAGGTATGTATGTCAGAAGGGTGAGTTTTAGCTATATACTTGTTGTGAAGTGCAGGCTTAATTTATATCCCCACTATTCCTTTAGTTAATCAAAGAAGCAAGAGCCATTTTGAGGTATGTTAATTAACTAGTCAACAACAATTTAGGGCCTTTGGTAAGGCCAAGATACGTACATACTCTGTACTGTTGGCCCTGCCAATTTTTGTGGGTGCTTGCGCTATTGCCCCAGTGATAATATAGCTGCATTATTATTACCAATATTCTAATCGACCGTCCGCTGTCCAATGTATAGTCTCTGTCATTCATGTGTAGCGCATAGAAGACGGGGTTCGGCTTGACCACAATCTGTAGATCTACTTGGTCTGATCTCGGGCCCTCTGCTCCATCCATTGTGATGGTGTAGTTGATGATGCCAGTCAAACTACTCCGTGGCACGGCCCTACGTTCGATGGTGCCACTGCTCAGCAAAACAACCGGCAGTTTTGGAGCCGTGCACTTGAGTATCGTGGAACTTCGTGGCGTGCACGTCTGCAAAATATAGTATACGTTATCATCGAAAAACCACATAGGCCATGAAAGAAGCGGAGGTTACTGATCAAACAGAGAACATGCCAATGGTACAACCAACCCACACAATTGCTTATCAGACTACGATTAGAAGTGGTCAGATAATGCTCTTGTACCCTCCAACTGTTTACATAGAGCGATCATTATTGCCGAGCGCGTTAGCGTGAGGCAACTACTCCGGGTTGTATTCTCGCGATATGCGTACGTACGTACGTGTCGTCACACTTAAGAATGTCAATTAGTAACGCTTAGGAATGTCACTTCCGTCATTCGTAGGAAGTCTAGCTTCCGCCGTGCACGCAGATTCGTAGGAAGTCTGGCTTCACGCGCAGTCAGTAAAGCGAGCGGCCTCAGTCGGAGTGTTTACGCATTGGCTGGCAGGCGCGAGGCAAAATATGCGCGTCGCATTCCTAGTACTTAATTACACTATCGGTTTTCAAGTGGTGAAATGGGGGCGATATTTAATTTAAACCCAATGAGGCAGCTCCCCCTAATTAGTAACAGGTGCTTGGCAGTGTTTTTGCCAATTGGTTTTCAAAAATACCACGTGAACCATTCACGTCGCATTTTTGTAATGTGGTTCACTTAGCCACTGCATATTTATTACCCAGGTAATATGTACCGCGCACTGCTTATTTAGCAGCACTTTCTTCACTTAACTTACTTTTTAAAGTCGATTTCAAACCTAACTTTTTTTTATAGTACCATGAGCTATATAGCTGTCTATAGCTTACACCAAAGAGCGTGTAGTTGTCAACAGTTATGATGAGTTCTGGGAGGAGCACAATGTTGAGATATCTGCCTCTAAATGTCAGGGTCACACCTCCACTGTAAAATAAAATTTTAGCGAATTAAAGCAAGGTGGTTAGTCACAAGTTTTACTTTGTGCTCTGTTCTAAATGCTCTACCCCATCAGTGCACTGTGATTAACTTCTTGGAGAGGTTTAAAGGAAAATGTATCCCTTCATTAGCTACAACTTAATATGTGAAACAACTGTAATAGCTTACGCAGGAATGATGTTTTGAGGCTCAACTCTGGTAAAGACTGGATTCTCCGTGTAGTTGTAGAGCTCTGAAGGCATGTCTGCATTGTCAATCACAACCCGTGTCCGATGCTGCGAAGATGCTGCCGCGACAGCCCGCGACACACATGATATTACAGTCGGAGTCACTTCCCTGGAAAAAATGTAGCGCAAGTCAAGATAATGTATTAACTGGTGGCTATTACAATGTGTTAGAAAACTGCACATATGCGTATGGATTTTTTTCCCTTCCTCGTTTTATGAGTCCACGTCCAACCTCTCTTGTTACTGCCCATGAAACACTGGCCTCTATTACAGCACTTATGAAGGCTCTAATAATTTATTATGTTTATACATAATTAATTCCAAGAGCTGTACTTGAGCAGCTAAGGAGTTGATTCCTGTTTATCGGGCTGCTACAATTCCACTTATCTCGCTATAGATCAGAAATATGTAGCGGCGAGATGTTTTTCTGAGGGTGTTGTCTTTCTTGTAGAGTTACCTAACCACCCGACAAAATACCTGCATTAGCCTTGCACAATTACACCCTCACTTCCTTTGACGGCTGTAGGACTGGTATAGGACTACACTACAACCTTGCTTCTTGGGAAACAACTTAATGCCTTGTCCTACTCTCCAAAGCTCTATCTCACATTGAGGTGCATCTCTTGAAGGAGCTCTTCAGTGTATTGCAACTTGGTATGAGCTGTTTAAGATTTGCTGATGGACACAAGTACAGACTCCAGTGAGACCATTTCTTGTTGTACAAACAGCTTTTGAGCCAGTATGAAACTTGATTAAAGCTGTTGGTGTGTGTACCTTGGCTTTAGAAAAGATGGGCGTGGATGCATTTCTGTGTCCATGCACAGAGACTATTCACTGCTATCTGCATCATTCATCTAAACCAAATATAACTGAAGTTGCCCACAGTTTGAATAGCCTTTCCCATCACATGCCAACGCTTTAAAGGATGCTACACCTATGATTCCTAACAATCTGCACTAACTTCCACGATAAACCCACACCCATTAAACATGCACATTTTTATAGTTTGGTGTGTACATAATATTTCATAACCTAGACTAGATATAGTTGAAGTATCTGAAATTCAAAGAACTTACTGTATATCACATGGAACGTCTCCAATAAACACTTTGGCAGCTCCAGGACTGCTGATGTCGAGGTTCGAACCTTGGAATAGGACATAGGTACCTCCAGCTTTGGGACCTTGCTGAGGCTCGACACTGTTGATGATGGGGTGGGCGAAAGTGAAGGTGTGGGGTAGTGCCAGTGGTCTAGCAGTGCCCGTCCCTCTGCGGATGGTGACTGAGACAAGATGATCTCCCTCTGATGCTTCACTTGTGGTGCACACTATCTGGCTTCCTGCATAGAGCATACAGTATAATTATTTACCAACTTTATTATGGGTTCGAAGCTTACATTGCTGCAGATATCCATGGATAAAGAACAGTTTGCTAGCACATGCATACAGTGCCATGTCCAAGCATATCGCACAGTACATTGCTAATCTATGAATTGGACTGGTATACAGAGCTAGTGCATTCATTAGACATGTGTAGGACACATAGTGTATGTTGCTAGCCGCCAATAGAGTCAAGCATTAGGCGAATTTCCATTTCTTGTATTGGGTGAATTTATGCTTAGTGCATGAATTGATACATTAGTGTTTTAGCCATGGAGATTCGCTCTTCCATCTTCTTGCTTTGGACATGTATTCACTGTGTATAGCCACATATGGTGGTAGTGGTTACCTATGTACATTAACCATGTCAGCCCAGGATCTATTGAATACATACAATACATACAAGTAGCTTTTGCATTGAGCGATACATAGGGCGTTGAGGAACATTGCTCTGCTATGAGACATTGTATGTGGTCTAAGCTATAGCAAGCAAGAACATAGTTGTTTAGGGCCATGTTGTTGTAGTACATGAATACTTTAAAAGAGCATGTGTTGTGCTAAAGGAGATGTTGTTCTTGTACGTGATTTCATTCCAATAATGGGTTCTCTAGCTGTTTCTATACAGTAGATGCACTACATGTGGTGCTATCAGAGCAAGTGTAGTATAGGCAAGGGCAGCAGTTACACTCAAGTTAAACAGCTAGAATAAGACGCACAAGTGGTGTGTAATGAACACCTGCAAAGACATGTGCTAATACACCCAATCCCATGTGTTAATACAGCCCTGGACATAATCCCAAACAGATTCAGAAGGTGGCTAATATTGTGCCTTCAGATAAGGCTTATACCCAGCAATACTATGGCACTGATGTCTCTGCCAGCCTTATAGTAATTTGTCTGCAGATATATTCTCTTCCGAGTGAGAATCAATTTCTGTAGACCCACTCAGCTGACACTTGAGAGTCCACTTCATTCACACTTGTGACAGCTCTTTATGTCCACGAAAAAGGGCAAGTGAGAGTGATATCCAATACAATTCATCTCTCCATTCAACGATTCAGATGAACAAGCATGTCTGCTTGAGATTCAGCTTAAAAGTCTGGGGAAAGGGTCAATGGTGTGTTCTTACCACTCCAAAGGCTAGTGAGAAAGGCTTTGACACTCTCTCCCTCCCTCTCTCTCCCCTCCCTCTCTCTTTCTCTCTTGACCGATCATTTATTTCCCATTTCTAAGCTCTATGCATTGTTTTGCATGTGTAAGTATGATAGAAGTGGATGTATAGGTGTGCATATTAAGTCATGTCTAAGTTTGGACTACATTTATTAGTTGTCTGAGTGACTGAAGGAATGGCCAAGTATTTCATTTCCTTTTAGAATGTACTTTGCAGGAAGTTTACATACTTGTGTATGCACACCCATTATACACTAGTCCATAATAGCTAAAGAAATTTTTGTATCCATGCCTCTGTAAGCACATTCAAATTCATGTGGTCCTTCGCTTATTAACTGCAGGCTATAGCACCCTCATTCAATCTGTAATAACATCAGCTAAGTCTAAGTACACACGATCATCTCATGGTATTGAGTGTGTACAGCAAAGCTCTGCTGTTACGGCCAAGTCTGCTGTTACGGCCAAGTCTGCTGTTACAGCCAAGTCTGCATAATTATGTACACCAGCATACCCACATGCATATGTAAGCACCTGGAATATATCTGTTCGTGTCAACAAGACATGGTGTTCGTTCCTCGGTGACTTGGTTCATCATCTTCACCAGTTCCACTGTCACGTCTCCAGCCACTGCTCCGATGTTTGTTCCAGTGACTGTCAGACGAGTTCCACCCACTGTTGGACCTGACACTGGACTGATGCCTCTGTAGTCGGAGAACGTTTTTTAAATATTTTCTCTAGCAAAGCATACAAATTGAGCAAAGTTCTAAAAGCTGAGACTAGGCTTTTCATAGTATAAAATTTAGCCAGATTGATAGCTGGGCAAATATGATTCAATGCCTCGTTTTTTAAGCATACGTTATAGTAGGGAGAGGGCAGTCGATGATGTCATTGAAGAGTGTAGAGTGTGTCTTGCAGTGGTCTAGAACTGTGCAGATGTCTGCAGTGTCCAGTTTGTCACACCAGAGGCAGTCGAACCCCGTCCCAATGTTGGTCGACAGACAACTTGAGCAGTCACTGCCCATCAGCTCACAGTCGTACAGTGTCACTGTGTGACAAGAGGGAGCATTTGTGCATCAAGGCAAACATATATTGTCGTGTGAAACAAAGGTTTTATGCAACCTTGTTGTTTGGGTATGATGGTTCAGTGAAATGTGCTGGATTAAATATTTTGCATACTATAAAGCTTCGTGAGAGTTTTGTAGTCTCAGGCAGTAAAGTGGATGCTTATTACGATAACATTCGTGGATATATGCAATAGAGTTATATGTGCTATGTATTTCTCAAGCCACAGTCTGAGTATATAGAAATGTGACGTGGACTTGTTGTGTAGCTGTTCGTGCTCAGTCCAGGAACAATGACCCATATTTGGGAGTTGGTATTGTGCTGCATCGTGTTCGTCCATTTACAAAGGCAATTTCTACTGCGTACTGTGTATCTGTAAGCATAGATAGACACGTGTGCACTCGTTTGACACTGCCCTTTGTCTAGACATACCACAGAGTACCAGCTCCAAAACAGTTCATGTGTGAACAACATCTCTACAAACAAAACATGCACGCTTTCTACCTTCCTCTACAATGAATCATCACAACATCTCTAACAGTGTTGTGCGTGTAACCCACGCCTTATGGTGTGTAGAATGACAGAAAATTTATCGGAGCTCCTCAGCCACAGAATTTCGAGTTGAGTGGTTTCAGATCCATTAGTGACATCTGCAGACATGTGAACCTACAGAATAAATGATGTAGAGTGACCTAGTATGGCTAAATAATGTTATAATAAAGGGATTGCCTGTGGTTGTTTATGCTTTTTGTTCTCGTAAGAACCTATGGGGATTATCGCTTATGTTGAAGCTCACAGAATGTGCTCATTCCACACTGAAACAGCTAATTGTCATAGTTTGCTTATTAGCTATGTTTGTTACGTATAATTATATTTCAGTGCACTATGCCAGCAATTACATTGTGCACTTTTGTGGAAGGTAGTTCTTTATTGATTGAAATTTAACATTTTGACACAGTTCTTGGGAGATAATAATAGACCTGCCTAGATTCCTCGTTCCCTACAAGGGGAGGAAACCACTTGACACTGTATCAATTTGCCAAGTATAGTGGGTTTACTGGCTGTGCAAGCACTCTAGCTCACTCCACCCTGTCTATGTCCAACCAAAGGCTTGACAACTATTTAATCTTCCTGAAATTAATTAGTGACACATGCTATCGTGGGCTAGCAGAATAATTTTGACAACGTACTAAACAGCTATTCGTGCCCTCTTAAGTTGTGTTTAGCCGTCATGACCATGACTTTTGCCGAGTTTTGAAGAGTTATGATAGTTGTGCACAGTATGGGTGTGAGTATGCTTACAATGACCCATGGCCGCATAATGAATCACTCTTAATGAAATTATGACTAAATCAACACGTTTCTGTGAATTGAGTATATAGCACAAAGGAACCTCCTCTGTGTAGAACCTTGAAAAGATTCCCAACTTACATAACGGACACTGGTTTGCCACAATAGATCCACTGTGTATATACACAGAGTTGTGGTCCCCCTGAAAGCATGGGACAAGCTTCCTTTAGCAATAAAGCAGGTTGGCTAGGGTTGCTGTTTTCCAGGAATCCTAATTGAACACTGGACACAAAGGGTTCTTTCGTGTGAGCCTTTTGTCAGAGTGTGTTCGTAAATTTTGAGAGATGTCGGGTATTGATTGTGTGGAATGTGGTGTAATCAGTGGATAATTACTATTGTTTTGTACACTTTCTTTAAAAGATGGAGAGAAAGACATGATAGGGAGGAGAGAGGGAAAGTAGTGAAAGAATAAGGGGAGGGCGAAGGTAAAGAGAGGGTGGAAGACAGGGAGAGAGTTAGATACCTGGTCCTCTGTTGTCAGGCATCTGAATTCAGTGTGATTATAGTATTGAGCCTCCAATCCCAGTACTGATCCATTTCCATACCTTATCTGACACCCGTATTCATATCCAGGAATCTGCCAAACAATTCATATTATCATAATAGCTAGTACATGTACGTAACTCAAAGTTAATCCTCCTTTGAACTGAGGTGTGTAACGCAAAACATGTGTTTTGGGTGGGATATATAGATTTGGCTTGAGCGAATAGGCCTATAGCTTTGCTGGTTTTGAAGTGATGGTACACAAAAATACAAGTCCAATTCTGTCAAAGAAGGTCTTAAAGCACCTCTAGTAAAACAGAGCAAGACGATATGCTTTGTCCAAACCTCGGGTGGTATGTTGAAGGTGGATAGAATCAGTTCCCTTCTTACGGAGACTGGCAAAGTGTAGCTGCCACGGTCAGGAGTATTAACAACCGGACATACACCATCCTCCTGAAATTAAGAAACTTTTATATGCCTGCCTCAGTTAACGTCTGAATAAGTATAAAATCCGTGAAAGCGTTCTCCAGGAAGTTTATGGTTTTCTAGCTTCAATGTGTCTTTTTTCTACCGTATAATATGGTTGAGCTTTTACACTCACATCAATTGTTCTCCAGTCTTCTTCATGCCGACAGCTAGTTGGGTTCCCTGTGCAGATGCGATCGTGAACGCACCATCCACACACCTCACTTGCTTCCACACACTTCAAACAGCTGAAAACAAACGAATAACGGTACATGACTCAACTTTGGTATTGGAGCCCTTATCAGCTGCATTATGCAGGGAAGAAAAATACACACTCAAGTTAATGGTTCAGCTAACACTGTCTAGGTAATATGAGCCTTCTAACATTACTCTGAGAGTTAGAGAGCTTACATTCTTGGATAAGGCAATTTACTTCAGAAGGAAATGGGGTTGTTTAACAAACTGTATGCTGTCTTTACTGAAAAGCAGTGCACTTCAAGGTGAATAGGACTGGCTTGCTACTATCAACACACCCCAGCCACCTACATTATAAGGCACTTGAGCCTGTTATCGATCCTTCTATCACAAATGCCTTTCCTCTTGAAGGACACTTGAATGACTAACCAGCGCTTATGCATGGTACACGAGGAATTCTGGGACAAAATAGTTGTCCTTTGTTGGCAGCTTTGCTATAATTATACATAATAATTTGCCAAATTATATAATAGTGTCTTGCGCAGTGACGTGTATGAGTAGCAATGTGATTGCTTACTCAGTATGTAGAGAGCAGTTGTGCAAGGCTAGCATTGATGATGTAGGAAATATTTCCGTAGTACTGGTGCCCAGCTGTAGTCGAAAGTTCAAATCTGCATAAAAACGAAATGATAAGTCGAAAACCTCTTTTGTTAGGTTGAAATTCCATTGTATAATTATTATCCAAAGAGACTGTGATGTTTTAGTCTTAGTCCATACAACTTTCTATACGCTTATGGATGCTTCGGTCACATTATAAATGTGGTCTCAGCTGGTTAGGGTTGTTTTTAGTCAGGTGGTTTCTTGGAAGGTATAGTTGTCTGACTGACGACAATGATCATCTCACACAATATAATCACCAGAGATCAAAGAGACTGAGGATCAGCTATCAGGTCAGGCGGTAGGGCACACGAACAATCGAACATGGGTAAACAGACTTATGGCTGAATCGGAAAAGACACTGAGTGTCAATATATGTGGGGCACACAGGCTCTCCTCCTACCAATGTTCACAGCTATTGATGGACCCAGGGAGTCAGACCAACAGCCCAATGGAAGTGGGGATATAGGATACGGTTGAAGATAAATGGGACCCACTTTCAGCTCTTCTGGCTAGACCACACAATCTTGTCCAGTGCATAAGTGATGTGTCAGCCAGTAATGCAATGTAAATAGCTGTGTGGATCATATGGAAGTCTGGAGTGGGCTTACCTATATGCGATCCATCAAAGGCATCAACCTGTGCTTGTTGTAGCTGGCATGCTCCATTGGTAAAAGGAGCTGTGAGGGAGTAAGTTGCATTATCAATGCTCCCATGATAGAGTGTGCATTGATAGTGGTGCGGAGGATGACTTGGCAGGCTAGCTTCAGCTGGGTCTATTGTCAAATCCACCTATAGAGATAGACACAGGGGGAAGAGGGAGAGAGAGAAAGAAAGGGGTTAGCTGAGCGTGTACACGAGCAATCTATTGGAAATCAGCCAAAACTGCAAAGGTATCTGCAGCTGTATTAATTGCAGGCATAGGTTGGGTAATGAATTAATGAAGTGTGAAAGGTGTTCAATGTAGTACTGAGGACTGTGTGTCGCCGTCTTGGATGGCCCAGCTCTGTCTGGCTGGATTCAAAGGCCCCACCTAACCTTTGTGATTCAAAAGGCAGTAATTAGGCATTCTCGGCGAACTAACAGAGCAAGATATAAGCATCCAAAAACACTCTTGTTTGCAACCTGAGGCTTTTGCCAGAAGCAAGAACTTATTCTGCAGGAGTATGTGCCTTTTTATCTACTGTTTCCATTCATCATTCAACAGCTTTTCATCGGGCACTTCCATCTACAACTGTACACCATACGAACAAGTTTCATTACAGGGTGACTCCCTCTGGTACTGATCAATACCTGTAGATTTAAGGCCGGTCCCCAGAGGACAACCACCGTTAACTGAAAAAACGTGGGCCTCAACTGGTACAAAGACGTACAATTAGTAGTTCCAGAAACACTGAGTGGATGCTCCATTCTAGACTTACACTCTGAATAAGGTCGACGTCCATTGAAGCTCGTGTGAGGGAAACAGAGGCAATGCACAGGTGTTGGTTGTCCACCCAGTGTGCCGTGTGAGAGCTTCCCGAGCACTCAACACTCTGACTGCAGTACTGTCCTAATGTACACCAGCCACACAGTGGGTCTCCACTGCCAGTACATTCACCGCAGGTGGTATAATTTGAGCACCTTTCCAGCGGTATTACAAAGACCTATAATGTGGGAGGAAAGTAGAGAAGATAATTATTCCAAACACCCTTAATGTGGGAAGATATTATAGTAATGAAGCAAAGCTCTATGTTGCTGTGTCGGTTCCTAAGAATGTTCTCAAACTTACACGTGTGCTACATTCACAAAAACAGGCAACTATTGGAGGGTGTTGGCTCCATAGCATACTTGTTCAGTGGTTGCTCCTCCCTTTAAAGCAACTGGCATAGAACGCCAAATGTACAAACACACTTGTCCTTAAAAGCTTGGAATTGGAATTCCATAGCTCCTGACAATAGTTAGAATACTTACGCCGTTGACGTTCCCTCCGTATATCTCCTGCATTATCTCATTCCACCTGAGTAGGGTAATGGGCAGACTGTACTGGTCTCTGGATACAAGCTCCACTTCACCATCAGCAGTAATATGGTACTACAGTAAAAGACGGCACTTTGATTTCTAGCCTCAATTATGACATGTGTACATTTGTATGCGTATACCTTGTCTAGGAAATGGTCGTCCTGGCTTGTTGATAGTGCTACGTAGAGTAGGTCAGTGGTGGTTGTCATTCCTACTCGAGCGGTAAGAACTGCTGTGATTTCTTCGCTGTTGTTGAACCTCAGCAGATGTTGGCCTCTGACTGGGTCAAAGGCTGCTAGGGCTGGTTCTGAATTGAGGTGATTAGCCAGGTTGAAATCACACAAACCTCTGGCCTGCAATGGAAAACCATTGTAAATCAACGTGCTCGAATTTTTAAGACCCTAAAATAATGCCCTGACCCAAAGGAGTGTATTACTGTACGACTGGAGGTGGAATTAACATGCTATATATATAAAGTTATATGCTGTGTACTGCTAAAGTGAAAGCCTCACCAAATTACTGAATGTAGTACAGGTTTGTTCGGTATACCACACCAGTCGTATCGCGAGGGCATTATTCTCTCCATTGGAACACTGTGTATAAGACTTGTCCATCTCTGCATTGACATCCTCGAGAAAGAATGAACACAAGTTTGTTTCGTGATCGGTAGTGACCGAAATAGTAATGACGGCATTGCCGAATTCGTCTATTAGATTGTGACTGACTTCAACCTTGCTGCTTGGGGACACGGCACTGCACTCAAGAACTGCCTCGTACTCTGCATCAAAAATCAGACACTTCAGTATCGTGACAGAGTCGCATGATGCGAACGTTGTTGGATGAATGTGTACCGTTGTCTCTAACAATGTAATAGACAAAGTTCCCCATCTGGAATCCGTGCAGAAACTGTCGGCGTAAGAAGTTTTCGTTTTGGAATACACCGTCGTAATTGCGCAAAGTGTTTGAATCTTGGTCAAGCTGCAGGATTGTCATTGAGATGCTATCCGTACTGGCAATATAGAATCCACCAGGATCTAGTGAGAGTGGAAAACTATCGTAACCTCTTCCAACCATTGTTGATTTGAGGATCTCTGGAAACAGCCAGTCAACTTCATAGTGAGTGCAGTAGCCATCCTTGCAGGCGAGCACGACGTCACTGGTGTTGTAGGAGAGAGCGATCCGGTGGACTTCTCCTCCGTCGTGCGTCGACAAACTTGAATTGGGAGAAAAGTCTGGGTTCAGTAGATGCAGTTTCTGGCCCGCACTCACAATTATGCTTGCGTCAAATGGCGACACTTGCAAGTCGGTCGGCGGACTGTCCAGATGATAGTAAAGGTAGCTCTGTTGCGTTGCAGTTGGCTGAGCTGCAGTGCTGAGGAAGCAGCGTGCACCCACAATACTCAGAACTGCAAGCGAGACGAATTTGGTAGGAATCACCATCGCCGTTCTGAAGTAGCGCGGTCTAGCTAACTGTTGTGGTGAGAGTAGAGAGGGGAAGGTTAGCTAAAGAGACTAGCAGACTGGCCCTCGCAAAGATAGCTGCGGTATATAGCCACTCCTTTGTTTTGATAAGAGGCTGATGGAGATGTTTAGCCGCCCGCTACCGATGATTTAGGAACCGGCGATTCGCTAGTCCAAATCTGTTTTGACTGAGAGCTAACTCGCCCTTTATACGTTCTGGGCGCAGTGTTGTAATCTTTTGCCACGCAACCAACTTCCGCATTCACTGTGCAGCAGCATGTATAATACTGTCACAGCTTGGTGCGTGTGCGCATGCGTAGGGAATGTGCATGCCGCAGCGCGCGAGCGCCGCTACGCGTGCGCGCGCATCCGCGGCGCGGCCGGCCTTCGGAATTGCCATCCTGCGCCGTAACTAGGCCTGAGGCCATTATGCTACCATTTCCCCCTATTATTCTATTCTGCATTTCCCTCTACATTTCTCCGATTATTCTTTCGTCCATGCCCATTATTCTCCAGTTATTCCCAACACAAAACTCAGAAAACACAAAAGTTTACGGTACAGAACGCTTCCCCACTGACACAACCAGCGGATACTTTTCTCCACTCTCTCTGACAGACTGAGAGACTTCGGATCACTCCCACTTTGTGCGACACTTCCGTTTGCCGAGAGCTTTGTTCAGAGTTACGCATACTTTCAGATTATTCCCGCCGGATTCATACTTGCCAACCATGTAAATTCATTTTACTGGACACTTTGTTCAGAAATGGAGGACATGAAGAAAAATTGCAGGACAGAAACACTACATCAATTATTTAATATGCACACACAAAATTAGGACTGTTTTGCATCTTTTCTTGTTTGTAGACTTCTTTGTGTTGCTCCCTTTCCCCAGTTTCCCTAACATTATCGCTGCTAATAGCAAAAGGACAAAGGTCAAGTCTCTCCACATCGTACGCATGCGCAGCGAGCTATATAGAAACTCCCTGCGCGCGCATGCAGTGACGCGGAGCCGTATGGCACCGTAACAAAAACCCTAAACATTATTACCTACAGGTAATACCTTGGGGATTATTGTTACGGATCGCGTGCCATACGGACGCGGGACAATAAGGCTCTGCTGCGGGACAGCGGGACGCCACTGTTTTTTGCGGGACAGTCCCGCGGAATGTGGGACGGTTGGCAAGTATGCGGATTCTCTAACGTGCCTATTATTCCGATTTTTATGCCGGCATATTAGCCGCAGGCGGCCTAGCCGTAACCCTCGGTGCGCATGCGCAGCGAGGGTTACGGTAGGTCTGTCTGTCTACGACTAGACTATTCTCGCACTACAGGCTCGAGGCGGCTTATGAGCGATACCAACAGCTTTAGCGGTATATGGGCTAGAAAAAGAAAATGGCGATTTCGCTGAAACGACTGCGTTCGAGAGCGACAAACTGATGCGGTCGCGGACAGCGTTGCGTGGCCCAACCCATCAATAAGCAGTGCGCATGCGTGTATTAGACGCGATCACCTCGACCTGATCCACTTGCTCTATGTACCTTGGAGGGTGTGTATCGACTCCCGCATGCTATCTACTACTGTAGCTAGCCAGTGTCAGACTCTCCGCAAGCTACTAGTGGGAGACCGCGAGTAAACGCCAATAGCCCAGCCCAGCCATTAGCGGAACCGCGCATGCGCAGTTCGCCGAGGGTTTTCAGTTTGCAGCACAGGGCGGTGTAGCTTTGAAAAAATTATATCACGTGATCCACGCACGGATTTGTCTGCTCATGCGCACGAAAATGTTAGCGGACTCAAAACGAAGTCGAAACTAACCTGGGCCCAACGTTACTGACCTGCGTGGAAAAAATGAGCGATACTCTGCAAGCCATCGAGTACAGGCGACTAGTGGCCTCGGTCGCGTCCCACCTCATCCCCGAAGAAGTTGAACGAATTATCTTTATTCGTAGAGAAAAGCTTGAGGCTTTACACGTATGCGGCGATGAAGATACAGCGTCGGCGCTACATACGCTTGCGGCTCTCGAGCGCCAGGGCGAGTTCTCCCTCCAAAACATCGACGGCCTCACAGAGATCGCCAAGGACGTCAATCGTCACGACCTCGTACGACTGATCGATGCGTACAAGAAGACTCGTTGCCTGGCAAAAAAGCCGCCCAAAATACGAGCCCGGAAACTACTCCGAAAGAGCTACTACGGGGGCTCTTCCTCTGCAAGGTCGAGTAGAGAGCGAAGTCACTTGGAAGCGACGTACGAGATGATGGTGACGCGTTTCACGTTCTTGGAACAGCAGATGAGCCTCGTACCGCGGCTACTGGAGGGCGAGGGAGACATTCAGGACGAGGGAACGGTTATACTGATGAGCCTAAAGTGCGCATCGGAAGAGCTTGCCACCAGGTTGGCCGACGCGTTCGAGTACTTTCAGGAATTGAGTGACGGAGGGAGCCTTCGGGGGAGCTATGAGGACCTTAGGAGGACTAACAGCAACGAGAGCAAAGATGATCAACTGTCACGTAATGAGGGTTTGATTTCTCTAGCTTTCATTCTCGATACAACATACATAGGGTGGTAGTTCCACTGATGTGCCTTAGTTGTTGTTGTTGTCATGAACTTGAGTGAGTGTCTGTGTACAGATGACAGGGTCTTGTTTGTATTGCAGGGTATCTCAAGAAATAGCTAGAGAGTGTGGATAGTAGATACACTGCGTATAGCATTTGGAAGATGTAGCCCAACTTGTGTTTTTCATTTGGGAAAAGTGATTGGGGAATTTGCAAAAAAAACAAGCATCACTCAGTCGCCTCAATTTAAATAGATAGGCTAGAATGTGCAGCAGGCAACATTTCACAGAACAACCATGTTATCCAAAGGCAAATGGCAAAGCCAACAAGACAACTGCACGTAGGACAACTCACTTTTCCAAAGAAGAAAAAGAGTTTCCCTGAGTGGGATTTTAACCCACGTCACTCTGGCACTCGTGCAGTGTGGGAGAGCACTCTAGTTGAGCTACTGAGGCAGCCCAGCAGACATTAAATTCAAAGGAAGACAATAAGTACACCTGAAATCGCCCAAACTTAGTATGCAGTGCACTCCTAGAAAGCAGAGTGTCGTGGGTTTGAATCCCAAAGCTCTTCTTTTTCCTTGAAAAGAAGGAGCTGTCCCGGGTGTAGTTGACTAGTTTGCTTTGCCATGCCTTTCTTCCTCGTTACATCATTGACACATGCATCTTTTCTTTAGCTGATGCAGAGGTCATATATGATAGGCCGACACTTTGTGCTCAGCCGGCAGAGGTGATCTATGACAGACCCACACATCCTCCACAACCTGCAGTTCAGAATTCAAAGCAGCTTCTTGTGCGACCACCAATTGCGAGTATGTGAGCAGCATCCTACACCTTAGGGTACACTTTGGTTTCTAACTTGCAAATGCACTCTTCCTTTAATGGTGACCCCCTAAGGTAACTTGTGCTCTTCTTATTGGTTATCTTACTGATTGGCGAGTGCAGAGAGCCTATACACCAAGTAGTCTAAATGGCGCAGGTTCCCATGTGACGTTGATGCACACACACACACACACACACACACGAATATTACGTACATTATTATACATATATTATATATACGAATATTACACAATGTAACAATAGACCATGTGATGCCAATGCACACACACATGCATGAATATTACGTACAACAGTTCAATGATTGCGTGGCTTGCCAATAATGCACTGCATCCATTCAAGCTATTATAGTGCATGATATTAGCAGCCTTTCCTGACTTCTGTAGCTATAGCTATATAGTCTTATAAGTGAGCAGCCCGCAGTTAACAATTTTCAATGTGTAAGACTTGACATTCTCTTCATTTATAACTCCAGTTCAGCTGGTTTCTTGCTCAGCATAGGTGTACACACTTAGCTACATACAAGTTTAAAAGACTTGGTTGTCTAACTATGCAGGAACATTTGTGCAAATTTCTTCAATATAAGACCTGTTTGGACATTCCTTGTTTGGTTTGTGTTGGCTATATACAAAAATCTGTGAATGTTTTCCTCAGCATGAGAATTTGATATTCTATTGGGTTTTCCCCTTCATAAAATTTCTCACTGTGTCATATGATACCGCAGTGGTAAGTAGGCGAAGTCAAATGCTGGAGACTCGTGAAGGGACTGGCTACGCTAGACCGGACGAGGACACAGACTTTACTGGAGACAGTGGGTTCAGCTCCTCCTCCAAGTACAATGATGACTCTGATCCTTATTGTGTGGTAGATCTGTGGAGGAGACCTCCACCTAACACACTGGCTCCACAGAAGAAAGGTATATATCTACAGTGAAGCATCTGAAAAGTTACCCTCTGACTACACTTTGTTTCTGCCCCATACCATATTGCGCTAAAAATGTGTTTACATAGTTGTTTATTATTTCCTCTGAATGAGGGACACCTCTGAATAGTGGTGAACACTTTCGATATGTTTATTTAAAGGTTTCACTGTATTGAACAGCTGTGAAAGAAGCTGGTATATATACAGGTCTTTCAGCACATACTGTAAACATAATATAGCATAAATTGTTCCATTTCTAGCTTTTCACTCCGGTAGTTGTTGCTTTTGCTGTTATGCTAACAGAGGCAGTGTTTACTGTGTATATTATATGCATGATTATCGTTTTTCTCCTTAAGTGTGTTGTCATAAAACACTGGCACCAATATTTGTAAACTTTGACTTCATTGGAAGAATGATGTAACAGTCATTCATTGGGCATTGTAGGTTAAAATTCTCTTATATGCAGTGCCAGCTACGGACAGTGATCACGGCTACATGGCAGTCTGTACTGCCAGTCTTGATTCAGGTGAGACATTTGCTAATTGAAATCGAAATTGTTTTCTGTGTGATATCGTTCATTCTCCTATGTAGATCCTGTGTATGATACAGTGCAGACACCTACCAAAACATGAATTGTCGCTATGAACTGTCATTACTTCAATGTTCATCATAACGTTATTCGTGTGCGCATGCATGTGCGCACGCTACCGCGCACATCTGTGCGCGCGCCGCCATCAGAGAGCAGCGTCACGTATGATAACTCTCGTGAAGACACACATATCCAGCACATAGCTCCTTTGCACTGCTGGCGGTGCAAAGAAAGTCACTGTAGCTAACACACCATCTTTAAACGCGCAGAATGGAGCCCTCCGTGGGCGAGATCCTCTTTAGAAGAACAGTCTCCAACACCTTCCGTAGGCTAAGTTTACAAGACGTACAACAGATAGCCTACGTACGACTCACTGGACGCGAAGACACCAAGAGGTTCAGTGCCGCTAAACCGCAAGCGACGTCTCTAGATCTGATGGAATCTCTTGAACAATACGGATATTTCTCACGAGAAAACGTCAAAGGACTAGCAGAAGTGTTGAAGGACGCAAATCGCACAGACTTGGCGGAAGAGATTGAGAGAAAACTGTGCAAACCCGTCAAGAAACCGCGAAACTCGACGGCAGTTGCGTCACCTACCGTAGAATCTCCGAGCAGGCTCGAAGATTCCGGGCAGGTGACAGACGAGGAGAGAAGACGCGGGGAGAGAACACCGGCACCGTCGCTTCATTGTGGAAGAGGAGCCAGAGCGCTGCCTGGTCCTGGCCATAAAATTTCCCCGTCACCATCCGGTAAGGAGTCAACTCTATTGCAACTCCCAAGGGAACATACGTATGTAGATACACCGTACCTGGCGTTATTATTAATTCACCTTCGTTGTATGTTTCCACAAACGGAAGTTTACTGAATAGTTATGATGTAACTGGGAATTTTTCAGCATGTGTGTGTGCAGGTGTAAAAGGTGGCGGGCAGAAGAAAGTCCCTCTTATGCCACCTCTAGTGGCTCTGAAGAAGGCAACACAAGAGACGGACTCACAATCAAAGATGCCAGTCAGACAACAGCTGGTGACGCTGGAGGCACAGCAATCACCAGTGAAAGGAACTACCTATCCTCCCTCCAAACCTGGTGAGACTCATGATAGCTTCGTATCTCTCACTTTTTCGCTATTAGCTATAGCATACCAAACCATTATGCTCTTTCACATTATTACATTAATTAGCATACGGCATAACATAGGCTAAACAATGTGAAGTTTACAGTTAGGTAGTAAAGGTTGTTGACAAATGTATGGGATTAGGATTATGTTGACTATGTGGTGTAATGGGTGAGCAACCATAGAGTAAACGATGTGCACAAACAGCCGATGTACTGCACTCATACATTTTCTGTGTACAATGTTGTAGAGATGCACTAGATTGTTAGTTTTTACCAAGTATGGTCATGCATGAGCTGAGGGTCATGATGCATTCACTTTTCCAGTATGCTAACTGTTATTATGTGCTGTCTTGCGGGACCGGTACTATTATGATAGTAGTGGGGTGTTCTGTAGCTTGCACTCTAAGGTTGTGTAAAATGCTAAGTCAGATTTGTCAAGCAAAAATACTGCCTATCCACCAGAAAATCGCCAAATCCCTCTTTTTTTGTGCTAACTTGTGATGCATCATGCCATACATTTTGAATGGAAACGCAGCATTTTCAAGCACAAGGACAGACAGACAGACAGACACACCAAGTACCGTAACCTCGCTGCACATGCACACGCGAGGGTAACACCTCTGCTCCAAGCTTGGTATATAGAAGTTGAGTCCCTAAGACGGCAGATTCGAGTGTCCTAAAGCCCGCGTGGGAGGCTGGAATGACGCAATAGTAACCGAGGCGGAGCTGAGGTTTCTATTGCGTCATTCAGCCGACCACGAGGGCTGCAGAACCACGAAGGCACGAGAATTTGCCGTCTTAGTTGTTAAGAAAATGGATAGCCGTACGGTTGGCTGTAGCTCGTCCGCCTTCAACCTTGGTTGGTAGCAGCTCTTTGCACCGCGGAGGAGAGTTCTCCCAAGCCGATACCGGGCGCAATCCACGATGGCGTCGATGCTAGTAAGTACTGACTATTAGCGGCGGCGTCTCAACTTTTCGACGATAGCCCGACAGGGGAGAGCCCTCCCGCTTCCACACTGGGCACTGGGCACTGTCGAAGACTTCGTCGACGATGACTGAGAATCACTGTTATTAGCAGCATCGCAACAGTTCGAGTCAGGGCGATGTCTGAGCAGTCTCAGCTCGTGATCGTCGCTTCTGGACGCCCCGGTTTGCGCGTACTGTAAACGGGAGGGTCTCAGTTAGAAGTAAGCCACCTGACCGCAGGTATCTTGTCGCTAAGAGACCTGCGTGTAGGTGTCTTAGCTCAAAATGAACCTCATTAGCTATTCATTTTCAAAGCATTCTTGACATTCCATTTTCTTAACATAGTTATTCAACAACATTGGATATCCATT